CATTGTTACAGCTCACAAGGGCACTTGACACCCCTCAATAACTCCTCCTTGTCCTCCAGGATGTAACAATACGCAGCAGAGAAGCATATTTTTTATTATTATCATACATAAGTCCTTAGTTCGTATAAGAGTAGCCTATTCTATACGGGTAGCCTAGTCTATCATCACACACTATTTTACTTTCAAATGTACAAAACAGATGAACATTCTAGCTTAAAGTGTGGCATAGACCATATCTGTTGGACGTGATGAATTACAAGAATATGTTTGGACAGAATATGTTACAAGAATATGTTTGAGGCCTGAGATGCTCCATAACGTTATTTCTGCAGAAGAGGAGTGTTTACACCCGTCATTCCATGATGCTGACGTAGTATTGACCAATGAGAAACTATCAATTAATGATAATACTCATACTGTGGGCGGTAGTGGACCCCCATACCCATGCTGTGGGCGGTAGTGGACCCCAATACCCATGCTGTGGGCGGTATATGACCTCGTACCCATGCTGTCGGTGGAAGTGGACTCCATACCTATCCTGTGGGCAGTAGTGGACCCCATACCCTTCCTGTGGGCGGTAGTGGATTTTTTTCAAACTTTTGCCCCGAGGGGCGAGTTTATTGGGCAGCGCCACTCATCCTGTGGGTGGACACACCGCCATAGCAGCATGTACAACACTCCGAATAGGAAGAAATCCCGCTGGGTTGTTCATCCTGTCACAAGGTAGAGGAAAGATATTACAGAAGCACATAGTGGGCTCAGGAACTGAACCCCAACTTTTATTTAGTTAAGCAAGTTACAGTCTTGATAACCTGGGCCGGGGTTCAAGAAGCAGTAAGGAACCTCTACACCTTTCCGCAGCCGCCATTACATTTGTTAAACAGTTGAGCATCGCCGAGACTTGCCAGTAGTGTTGTTGTTGTTGTTGTGAAGAGCCTCCTGACGCTCCCCGGCTCATCAACTCTTTATTAGTACATGTAAACAAACGCGCCAGAGATTGTGAGAAGATGTAGAGGTTCGTAAGTGGTTGTGTAACGTCTTGGCGACTCCAGGGCTGGTGAGACAGTTTAATGTGTGTATAGTCGTTACCACCATGGGGTCAAAACTGAACATTATCCCAACTGGTCAACTCCAGCCCATTACCAAGAAAATGACGTTATTACCCTACATACATCTGCACCTTTGAATAAGGTAGAAAACATGAGGAAGCTTAGTAAGAGGCTTGAGGAGGATTCGGGCCTGCAGCCTGGGTACACACAAGCATACGCCTCACATCACTTAACCTCGACATGTTGAAAAGCAATTCAACCTTTGAGTCCACTGAATCGTCTAGGAAGTCCTGAGGCTTCCACTGAAGCCCAGTCTGGGTTTCACTCACTACCTCTGCCCCCCCCCCTTCTGCACTCTGACTGTGGTATAGAGGCATGTGTGCTCCTATACCACATGTGGTTAAGTGGTGTGAGGCGTATGCTTGTGAGCACTCAGTGTGCAGGTCCAATTCCTCCTCATGCCTCCTGAGTTTCCTCATTAATACCTCACATTAATGTGATGTCTTTGTGCAGGTGGAACACACGGTGTAAAAGGCTTTCCCAGACGTCATGTTAAACATCAAGTAATGTAATTTAAACGCGAACTGCAGTTGGCTGTGAGGAGAGGCCGCCCACCTGGTCTGACTCCCGCTCGCGGACTGGCGGGCGCGAACACTTCCTTCTACACGACAACCACTCTCAGGAATTGTAGTAGAATGGCTCCTAGATCTCTCTACATTTCCCTATTAAACATTGAATACCTGTTGCTGGTGGTGTAATCTGTCCTCTCACCTAAAGCGTCGGATTGTTAACGGCATCGACCACACAGTCACAAACTCAGGAGGTTTAGTACATAATGAAAGCTCTGTAATATTTGACGTTTTCTATGCAACAGCCTCAACAGGTTAAGTTGGGTTGCAAAGATTCTGCTCAGGGGAAACATTTACATTTTTAGCGAGTGCAAAGTTGGTGCGTCGTCCAAGGCAGCAACATAAGCGACCTTTCCGTCACAGTTCAACAGAATATAAAAAGTTGTATTTATGGAATTCTATAAAACTTTCGTCGTAAGTAGAAAACATGAAGCTTTACGCAACATTCACAATGGTGCTTTAAGACTGTGTATGAAACTGTAATGAAATGGTGTACTAAGCCAGAATAATAATGGAAGAACTTCATAATAAATGTTTTAACCCCTAAACTGCGCAGCTATTTGTGTGTGTCCAGATGCACACGGCTGAATATAGTTAACAAATTGCAGATAGCAGTTGCAACACTGGAGAGACTCGCAGATAACGAGTGCAACAGTATAAGTGTTAAGTGTGAAGACTTCCTTTATTATCTGGTAAGAATCAATGACAATACCTATAGAGGACGTAACGTCAAGCGCGGACACTGTTCTTAGTTCTACCGTATTCTTATTTACATCAATGGACAGGGTTTACAAAGTTTATAAATGTACAAAAAGAGTTTCCATTTGGTTTATAAACCAATTTACAAAAAGAGTTTCCATTTGGTTTATAAACCAATTTTCCCCCACACTTGTGGGGAAGTTATACACTTAGAAATATATATATATATACATACATTAATATTTTACACTATACACATACCTGACTAAAATATTGAGAACACTGAAATTATATACTTGGCAACAATGCTGAAGTCCTTACCCCACACCTTGGCAACACTTCACACTCACAAACCTCTCTTAAGAATAGTTTCTGAAGTTGCACCACCTCTCCCAAGAACAGGTGAGGAAGGAGGCACCAAGAACAAGTCAAGGAAGCTCACCAGCTCTCCCAAGAATATGTACAGACTCCACATAAAAAATCTTTGTGAACTAAGTATAGCACCTTGCCATACCTAGTATACCTTGCCATAAATCCGTATTGCACAAAACCTTTTTTAAATTGAGTAATCTCCGAGATATATATATACATAACGTGCAAAGTATCCCGGCAAACACAGAACCCGGTGGGCAAAACTGGCTCGAGGAGCGTCTTATCGACGTCAATCCTCTCAAACACACAACGTAGCGTTCCCTATTGTTACAAACATGTTGCAAAGTTGTTGCAACGTTGTTACGACGTTTTAGAAAGCTGTTACAACATCTTAAAACTTGTTCAAATGTTGTAGCAACGTCGTAGTTTCGTCGTGCGTTTGTCGGGATTTAACGTTTTTTTCCCCACTGGAAACATAACAATAACGTTCACTGAACGTTATTGTTATGTTTCTTTATAACGTCTTTATAACGTTCACTGAACGTTACAAAAACGTTTTTATGTTGTGTTTGCTGGGGTTAAATGCACACTCCTGAGTCAATAGTAAACACGGTGTTTCAACGCTCAAGAACATTAAACACACTACTTGTCACCCCGCCCGTCCTCCTGTGGTGGTAGTACTGACAGTAACGATGACGGCCGTACTGTATATACCCACGGACCAAATTATATAGTAGAAATCTGAAACTATTGAGTTGGACAAACTGGAAAACTATTATATACTTGTGTTGCTTTGGCAAACTAACCTAACCTAACTTCTCTAGGCCTAATACACGATATCTGAGGCCTAATATAGAACACATGTGTGCTATACTAGGCCAAGGAATATCTTATTTTGTGTTTCAGCTTCATTTATTTTAAAACAATTTCTTACTAGTAAGTATACTACTCTCTAAAAGCTAAGTATGTACGAAGTCTGACTATTGACGACAGTCACACTAGGTACTGTCTAAGCAGGAGGACGGGTTGTGTTATATTCATTACGTTGTCGTAACAAAAAAAAAACGTTCAGACAACGTCGTGGCAACGTCCTATGATAACTAGGATTAATTAACGGTCAAAAACGAAGCCAAAAGTCGACCAGTCTTCCTCCCCAGTGTGGACGGGTCGACCACACACACACACACTCCCAGAACTGAAGGGCAAGAGCTACGAGGAGAGGTTAGAGGCATTAAATATGCCAAAACTAGAAGACAGAAGAAAAAGACGTGATATGATCACTACATACAAAATAGTAACAGGAATTGATAAAATCGATAGGGAAGATTTCCTGAGACCTGGAACTTTAAGAACAAGAGGTCATAGATTTAAACTAGCTAAACACAGATGCCGAAGAAATATAAGAAAATTAACTTTCGCAGAGTGGTAGACGGTTGGAACAAGTTAAGTGAGAAGGTGGTGGAGGCCAAGACCGTTAGTAGTTTCAAAGCGTTATATGACAAAGAGTGCTGGGAAGACGGGACACCACGAGCGTAGCTCTCATCCTGTAACTACACTTAGGTAATTACACACACACACACACACACACACACACACACACACACACACACACACACACACACACACACACACACACACACACACACACGTTCACAGCAACACACAGACCACAACACACCCGGCAAACACACACAACGTAACTCTCCCTATTGTCCGCTTGTTACAACTTGTAATAAAGTTGTTACATCTTGTTATTACGTTTTTATGACGTATTAGAACGTTGTTACAACTTGTTAGTTGTAAAACGTGTTCGAACGTTGTAGCGACGTGGTAGTTTGGTCGTGTGTTTGGCTTGTACAAGTCATTGGTGAACCAAACACAACACAACCACAACACTTGTGGTCTTGAGACATACAACTTCAAGTTCAGGTTGTACAACTTGAAGGTAGTAATGTACAACTTGTACACTACAGCTTCAAGTTAATAATGTACAGCTTTAAGTTAGTACAATACAGTTTCAAGTTAATCATTTATTAAATACTGTAAAACTTCACGTTAGCACTGTACAACTTGATGAGAGCACTGTACAACTTCAAGTCAGTGCTGTACAAACCCTGGAAACACAAACTGTAACTGTCTATTTTCCGCTTGTTACAACTTGTAATAAAGTTGTTACATCTTGGCTTAACGTGTTTATGACGTATTAGAACGTTGTTACAACTTGCTATATTGGTTGTTATAACTGGTTAGGAGGTGTTAAAACTTGTTCGAACGTTGTACCAACGTCGTAGTTTCGGTGTGTGTTTGGCGGGAAGACATTCAATACCACCACACCATCATGAGCATCATCACACCATCATCATCATCATCATCATCATCATCTCGGCTCGTCATCACTAAGAACCATCTACCGTCATCCACCCGCCTGTCAACAGCCTCTTACGGCACTCTCTGACTCACGGCGTCATTTTGTATTCTGTTCACTACAGTTCCACCAGCTCCCCAATTATGTAATATTCTCGACACAGTTGTGGCTCTGTAACATATTACAGTATCTATGTAACTGTCACTTGCCATGACGCTGGATTCTGTATCTTGCTTGGCCGCCTGACAGATAGTCGAGGGTGTTGTAAAGGTATTCCTTCCCCTTTGACGGGGGATACAGTGAAGTTGTTTAGAGTCATTGAGGCCACCCACAACGGTTGAGTAGCTCCAGGATACGTATTAACTGCCGGGAAGGAAGGGGAGGGGGGAATTATCAGGGGGAATGTGCCAAGCCATTACGACTATATTGCACTTGGAAGGGGTCAAGATAAGATTTGGGATGGGACGGGGGGAAGGAATGGTGCCCAACCACTTGGACGGTCGGGGATTGAACGCCGACCTGCATGAAGCTGGGACGCCTCTACATGGGACCGAAGAACTTCTCGCCGCTGGTGCAGTACTGGGACGCCTCTACACGGGACGCCTCTACATGGGACCAAAGAACTTCTGGCCGCTGGTGTAGTACTAGGACGCCTCTACATGGGACGCCTCTACATGGGGCGCCTCTACATGGGACCGAAGAACTTCTGGCCGCTGGTGTAGTAGAGGGAGACGGCGACCACCACGCCGAGGAACACCCCGAGGGCCACCACCACCAGCACCAACACGTAACACCGGCGGCGGCGTCTGCGGGCCTCTGACCGCTGCCGCAGCTTGTCTGACCGCCGCAGGTCCAGGGTGAAGTCCAGGCACGTGGCGGCGCCCTGCGGAAACACCCGCACACTATTACAACCATCCTTATTCAAAGAAAAGACCAGCTTAGTTAACACAATAACAAATCCTACAATAAATCCTACAATAAGGGCATCCTACAATAAATCATATAATACAGAAATCCTACAAAAACTTCTAGAATAACAATCCTACAATTAGATTATCCTAAAATACAATAAAACCACCTACAAAAAATGCTAATATATATATATATATAATGTTGTACCTAGTAGCCAGAATGCAGTTCTTGGCCTACTATGCAAGGCCCGATTTGCGTAATAAGCCAAGTTTTCTAGAATTTTAATATTTTTGTTATTTTTATCTTATGAAATGATAAAGCTATTCATTTCATCATGTATGAGCTAATTTTTAAAAATTTTAGTTAAAATTAACGTAGATATATAACCTAACCTAACCTACCCTACCTAACCAACCAATCTTATCCTAACCTAAACTAACATAACTAAATCAATAATTTATGTTCTTAATATAATATAATAATAATATTTAAAGTAAACCAATAGGAAACAATTTATTGAAAATAAAGAAAATCACTCGGCCTATTAGGCAAATCGGGCCTTGCATAGTAGGCCGAGAAATACGTTCTGGCTACTAGGTACGACATATATATATATATATATATATATATATATATATATATATATATATATATATATATATATATATATATATATATATAACTGGAAACTCCACACCCCAGAAGTGACTCGAACCCACACTGCCAGGAGCACTGTACAACTGGTGTACAGGAGTTGTTTTGATTACCAGTCTCACACAATACAAATACATTAACACTACCATCATACGTATAGAGCCTAGAGGCGCTGTATAGAGCCTTGAGGCTGTATATAGAGCCTAGAGGCGCTGTATAGAGCCTAGAGGCGCTACACAGACCCTAGAGTCGCTACACAGAGCCTAGAGGTGCTACACAGAGCCTAGAGGCACTCTATAGAGCCTAGAGGCGCTACACAGAGCCTAGAGGCGCTACACAGAGCCTAGAGGCGCTACACAGCCTAGAGGCGCTCTTTAGAGCCTAGAGGCGCTACACAGAGCCTAGAGGTGCTCTATAGAGCCTAGAGGCGCTACACAGAGCCTAGAGGGGCTGTATAGAGCCTAGAGGCGCTATATAGAGCCTAGAGGCGCTACACAGAGCCTAGAGGGGCTGTATAGAGCCTAGAGGCGCTCTATAGAGCCTAGAGGAGCTACACAGAGCCTAGAGGGGCTGTATAGAGCCTAGAGGCGCTATATAGAGCCAAGTGACCCCATACAGTAGAATATGAGGTGGGGGAGAAGTGAGGTACTCACACCACAGATGGGCGCCTTGCTGTTGGGGTGAGGTGCCAGGGGTCTAGGCAGGGTGCCACCGGTGGTGCCATAGTAGCTCTCCCAGAGCTGTTGTCGTCTCCCGCGGCCCATGGTGCCCGCCGGCGCCTCCTGCACCACCACACGTATAGTTATATGATAACTTATAGGATGAGTATGGGGTGCATAATAAACTACCACTCCCAGCAAGAGTATGGGGTGCACAATAAACTACCACTCCCAGCAAGAGTATGGGGTGCACAATAAACTACCACTCCCAGCAAGAGTATGGGGTGCACAATAAACTACCACTCCCAGCAAGAGTATGGGGTGCACAATAAACTACCACTCCCAGCAAGAGTATGGGGTGCACAATAAACTACCACTCCCAGCAAGAGTATGGGGTGCACAATAAACTACCACTCCCAGCAAGAGTATGGGGTGCACAATAAACTACCACTCCCAGCAAGAGTATGGGGTGCACAATAAACTACCACTCCCAGCAAGAGTATGGGGTGCACAATAAACTACCACTCCCAGCAAGAGTATGGGGTGCACAATAAACTACCACTCCCGGCATGAGTATGGGGTGCACAATAAACTACCACTCCCGGCATGAGTATGGGGTGCACAATAAACTACCACTCCCAGCAAGAGTATGGGGTGCACAATAAACTACCACTCCCAGCAAGAGTATGGGGTGCACAATAAACTACCACTCCCAGCATGAGTATGGGGTGCACAATAAACTACCACTCCCAGCAAGAGTATGGGGTGCACAATAAACTACCACTCCCAGCATGAGTATGGGGTGCATAATAAACTACCACTCCCAGCAAGAGTATGGGGTGCACAATAAACTACCACTCCCAGCATGAGTATGGGGTGCATAATAAACTACCACTCCCAGCAAGAGTATGGGGTGCACAATAAACTACCACTCCCAGCATGAGTATGGGGTGCACAATAAACTACCACTCCCAGCAAGAGTATGGGGTGCACAATAAACTACCACTCCCAGCATGAGTATGGGGTGCACAATAAACTACCACTCCCAGCAAGAGTATGGGGTGCACAATAAACTACCACTCCCAGCAAGAGTATGGGGTGCACAATAAACTACCACTCCCAGCAAGAGTATGGGGTGCACAATAAACTACCACTCCCAGCATGAGTATGGGGTGCACAATAAACTACCACTCCCAGCAAGAGTATGGGGTGCACAATAAACTACCACTCCCAGCATGAGTATGGGGTGCACAATAAACTACCACTCCCAGCATGAGTATGCGGTGCACAATAAACTACCACTCCCAGCATGAGTATGGGGTGCATAATAAACTACCACTCCCAGCAAGAGTATGGGGTGCACAATAAACTACCACTCCCAGCAAGAGTATGGGGTGCACAATAAACTACCACTCCCAGCAAGAGTATGGGGTGCACAATAAACTACCACTCCCAGCAAGAGTATGGGGTGCACAATAAACTACCACTCCCAGCAAGAGTATGGGGTGCACAATAAACTACCACTCCCAGCAAGAGTATGGGGTGCACAATAAACTACCACTCCCAGCAAGAGTATGGGGTGCACAATAAACTACCACTCCCAGCAAGAGTATGGGGTGCACAATAAACTACCACTCCCAGCAAGAGTATGGGGTGCACAATAAACTACCACTCCCAGCAAGAGTATGGGGTGCACAATAAACTACCACTCCCAGCAAGAGTATGGGGTGCACAATAAACTACCACTCCCAGCAAGAGTATGGGGTGCACAATAAACTACCACTCCCAGCAAGAGTATGGGGTGCACAATAAACTACCACTCCCAGCAAGAGTATGGGGTGCACAATAAACTACCACTCCCAGCAAGAGTATGGGGTGCACAATAAACTACCACTCCCAGCAAGAGTATGGGGTGCACAATAAACTACCACTCCCAGCAAGAGTATGGGGTGCACAATAAAGGATTAAGTGCAGATTTCTGGTCTGACACGAATCTTTCGTCCAGAACACGACAAAACAATGACTAATTACATATTATTATCCTCTATGATCACAAGGTTTCACGATCATGTGAACTAGAGTCATTCATGGTGAGGTACGGTAATTATCAGGAGAAAGCAGCAGGTCAGTACGACTATAGATCACTGGGAAGGGGTCAGGATAAGGATCAGGGATGGGATGGGGGGATAAGGATGGTACCCGACCACTTGGACGGTCGGGGATTGAACGCCGACCTGCAAGAAGCGAGACCGTCGCTCTACCGTCCACCCCAAGTGGTTGGTCGAGTTATTCAAGTAATAAATAAATGAATAAATAAATAATATATATATATGTTAATTTAAATTACTTTAATTATTTGGGAGTTTACATGGCAGAAGCACCGGAAGTGACCTCACCTGGAATCTATCTCTGTAGCTCTCAGAGATGGCCCATATGCCCTTGTGGTCGGCATCGCTGGCAGCCTTACTGGTGGTCTTTGAGGTTGCCTCCTGGAGCCTCCTTCCTTCCAGAGACTCATTGTTGTGACTCCTCAGAGCTCCTCCAGGCACAGGAGGAGACCTCCTACCTCCCCGCTGGAAGCCTTCCATGCCCCCTCGTTCCAGGCTCCCCGGGTTGATGGTATCAGCGGTGAATTTGACTCTACGTTCTTGTCTACTGTCAGTTGCATCTTCCAGCACGATATCGTCCAGGTCCAGCCACTGCATGCGGTGTAATGGCGCTCCCTGCAGCTTCTCGCTGATCTTTTTCTGGAAAGCTGCGAGTTTGTCCGGATCCAGGAACTTGTTGGCGGGCATGAGTGGCTTGCCGTTATGGTGGATGATGGGAGGAGGGCTGGGGAACCTGGGGTGCCCGCTGTCGTCCAGGAAGGCGGGGTTGTCCACTCCACCAGGCACAATGTCGTTGATCTCGGCATAGCTGCCTGAGGACTTGGTTTCCAGCGATGGGTGACTACATCTGCTGCTCTCGAAGCTGTGGAGGTCGTCGTAGGTGGTGGTCGTGGAGGTTCTGTTGGTTGTGTCGCTCTCTAGTCGTTGCAAGAGTCGTTCGTTGTTTGGCACAGATGAGGCAAAGGTTCTCAGGTGCTCTACACTACTACCAAGAGAGTACCTTCTCGAGACGTCCTCATGTGGCTCTTTTCTAATGTCTAACATGTCGTCGCTTACTATAAGTTTTCTACCATTTGTTTTTAAACCACTTCTCTCCCATAGATCTTTGATTGTTAACAGTCCTCTCTTCTTGGGGCAACTTTTGTGTATAGGAATGGAGATATCGAAGCTCTTACTTCGGACTTTATACGGAGGTTTGACCATGTCTTTGGTACTGAGCGAGGCGGCTCTATTGAGCGTGGCATAGAGCCCTCTGGTGTACACAGCCTGGCTGAAGTCTGGCATGGTGGCAGAATGTGTCAACTGGATGGGGGACTCGTAGTGGTGGTGGTCGTCGTCAAAGTGGTGGTGGTGGTCGTCCTCGAGCAGGTCGTCCTCCCTGCCATACCTCATCATGCGAAGGGTGTCCTCGGTCACCAGCGAGTCCGGCTGAAGAGACATGAGGGAGAAGGCTGGATGACTGCGGTCTTCTCCGAAGTACCTGGTGATGCTGCGGTCTTCTGCACTCCCCGCCTGCACCTCCACCTTCCTCGCATGCATGTTATCGTGATGATGACCTGATATCTTGGCACTTCCTGGCACCTGTCTAGGGCGCCCTAGGCTGAGGGTCTTGGCACGTGTGACGGGTCGCAAGGGCGTCACGTCTATGGCCGTCACGTATCGCAAGTCCTGCGTCACAATCTCCACTGGACTTGGCACGCGCTGACGTCCTGACTCTGGAAAAGTGAACAATTCCTGTATCTGCTGCAAAGCTTTTCTGCTCGTTCCTTGGTTATGAGGGAGTTGGCCGGTGCTTGGCCAGACGGGCCGAGGCACGGTCGAGGACCCGGACTGTTGGATGGCTGGCTGCCGCCGCACCATCTCCAGGGACCGGGTGCGACGCACCATCTCCAGGGACCGGGTGCGACGCATGCCAACCTGGATGGCGTGAACGAAGTGTGGGTGTTGGGTGACAATGGCGGCCACAGCCTTCCCGCCCGCGGATATCACCGCCCCTCTTCCCTCTCCCGGAGACGCCGGCGTCCTGCAGCTGCCAAACTCAACTATGGACTCGGTGACCTTCCCGTCCCCCGTCTCTCCCACTCCTGTCCCTCCAGGGGCTGTGTGATGCCCGTCAGGGTGGGATGGGGGACGGGATGTGGCACTACTGAGTGCATTATCTGACCCCAAGAGGTCATCGTCGTCGTGACCGTCTGACCTCTCCGAGGCGGAGTCCGTCTCCTTGGACCCATAACCAGAGGAGCGGACAGAGCTGCGGTCAATGGGCGGAGACTCGAGCAGGTCTTCCTCCTTCTGCTGCCTTAGTTGTACCTTCTGCCTCCCCTCTTCCTCCCTTCCGTCCTCTTCCTCCTCTCCTCCTTCCTCTTCCTCCTCCAGGCCCTCGGTACTCTCAGTTTCCTCCTCATGGTACAACGGGTTCACTCTGCAACAATGGAACACGTAGGAGTTAGTCAGCATCATAACAAGGCACCAAGCCGGGCAGAAGGATCACAAATGACTCAAACCTAAAGGTACACGACGAACAACCCAGCGGGTTTTCTTCCTATTGGGGAGTGTTGTACATGCTGCTATGGCGGTGTGTCCACTCACAGGATGAGTGGCGCTGCCCCAATAAACTCGCCCCTCGGGACAAAATTTAAAACCAAAAATTAATCTAAATATCATTCATCATCACCAAATATGTGTTATACATTTGACACGAGTCTCCCTGGATCTTAAGTCCTCCCGTAAAGCAACATTACAATCCCTTCACACACAAGTAGAACCACTAGGACTGACGCCCTTGCTTTCTGCAGGGTCGGCGTTCGATCCCTGATGGTGCAAATAGTTGGATGCCGTTTCTTCACTCTGTCCACATGTCCTCATACCCCAGCTCTGCAGCTCAGTATATATACACTGTGAGTTTACACCTATTTAGTATACCAAGAGTATACTTGATGTTGAGTGAGGGCTACGCCACAGATGCTGGGGATCAGAAGGTGTGTGATGGCGGCCTCGTAAGCCCCATAGAGCGTGGTGTATAGGCCTTTGAAGGCCTATAAAAAGGTGGCGTCGACCCGTTATGATCAGACGAGAAACTGGACTGTGTGATGCAAGGTGGTGTTACTGTCAGGTCGTCTCCCGGGGGTGAAAGTTGCCCTTCTTGGCGTGCCTCACACACACACACACACACACACACACACACACACACACACACACACACACACACACACTGAACTTCTAGGGAGGCGGCGGTCGAGCGGACAGCACGCTGTACACGTAAGCCTGTGATCCCGGGTTCGATCCCGGGCGCCGGCGAGAAACGATGGGCAGAGTTTCTTTCACCCTATGCCCCTGTTACCGAGCAGTAAATAGGTACCTGGGAGTTAGTCAGCTGTCACGGGCTGCTTCCTGGGGTGTGTGGTGTGGAAAAAAATAGTAGAAGTAGTAGTAGTAGAAACAGTTGATTGACAGTTGAACGGCGGGCCGAAAGAGCAGAGCTCAACCCCCGCAAACACAACTAGGTGAATACTACTAAGAGAATACAGCTGCCGGCTAAGATGGATGACACACTTTAGTGCCGCCTGATACAAGCTGTCCAGCTGGTACAAGCTGTCCAGCTGGTACAAGCGGTCCAGCTGGTACAAGCGGTCCAGCTGGTACAAGCTGTCCAGCTGGTACAAGCTGTCCAGCTGGTACAAGCGGTCCAGCTGGTACAAGCTGGACAACATTTCTCAGTGATGGCGGCTTCATTAGTGTGTATATAATGAGTAGTTCATGAGGTGAGGTGAGCCTCCGGGAGTGAATGTTGCCCGTCCTCACACCTCTCTCTCCCACACCTGGCCGGGGCCAAGATCAACCAATCCCTTCAGTCCTCATTGACGAAACCTGTCCATCTTCCCTCAGTCATGGCAAGTTAGTGGTTTTTCTTCAACAATTTATGAGCACCAGGACGAGGTTGTTTATAACAACCACAACCTCAGGGTTGTGGTGCTCCCCAGCTGCTCCTTCACTGGGTGAGACATGTCAACAAAGGACCGGCATGATTTAGGGAAGATGTAGAGGTTTCGTAACTGGTTGTATGGCTGCTTGGTGAGTCGCAGGGAAGGGAACTATCAGGTGAAAGCACCAAGCCCGGTCGTCGACCAGGCCTCCTGGTTGCTGGACTGATCAACCAGGCTGTTGGGCGCGGCTGCTCGCAGCCTGACGTATGTGTCACAGCCTGGTTGATCAGGTATCCTTTGGAGGTGTTTATCCAGTTCTCTCTTGAGCACTGTGAGGGGTCGGCCAGTTATGTCCCTTATGTGTAGTGGAAGCGTGTTGAACAGTCTCGGGCCTCTGATGTTGATAGTTCTCTCTTGAACACTGTGAGGGGTCGGCCAGTTATGTCCCTTATGTGTAGTGGAAGCGTGTTGAACAGTCTCGGGCCTCTGATGTTGATAGTTCTCTCTTGAACACTGTGAGGGGTCGGCCAGTTATGCCCCTTATGTGTAGTGGAAGCGTGTTGAACAGTCTCGGGCCTCTGATGTTGATAGTTCTCTCTTGAACACTGAGGGGTCGTCCAGTTATGTCCCTTATGTGTGGTGGAAGCGTGTTGAACAGTCTCGGGCCTCTGATGTTGATAGTTCTCTCTTGAACACTGTGAGAGGTCAGCCAGTTATGTCCCTTATGTGTAGTGGAAGCGTGTTGAACAGTCTCGGGCCTCTGATGTTGATAGTTCTCTCTTGAACACTGTGAGGGGTCGGCCAGTTATGTCCCTTATGTGTAGTGGAAGCGTGTTGAACAGTCTCGGGGCTCTGATGTTGATAGTTCTCTCTTGAACACTGTGAGGGGTCGGCCAGTTATGTCCCTTATGTGTAGTGGAAGCGTGTTGAACAGTCTCGGGCCTCTGATGTTGATAGTTCTCTCTTGAACACTGTGAGGGGTCGGCCAGTTATGTCCCTTATGTGTAGTGGAAGCGTGTTGAACAGTCTCGGGCCTCTGATGTTGATAGTTCTCTCTTGAACACTGTGAGGGGTCGGCCAGTTATGTCCCTTATGTGTAGTGGAAGCGTGTTGAACAGTCTCGGGTCTGATGTTGATAGTTCTCTCTTGAACACTGTGAGGGGTCGGCCAGTTATGTCCCTTATGTGTAGTGGAAGCGTGTTGAATAGTCTCGGGCCTCTGATGTTGATAGAGTTCTCTCTCAGAGTACCTGTTGCACCTCTGCTCTTCAACGGGGGTATTCTGCACATCCTGCCATGCCTTCTGGTCTCATGTGGTGTTATTTCTGTGTGCAGGTTTGGGACCAGCCCCTCTAATATTTTCCACGTGTAAATTATTATGTATCTCTCCCGCCTGCGCTCAAGAGAATACAGATTTAGGCTCTTTAGTCGGTCCCAATAGTTTAGATGTTTTACTGAGTGGATTCTAGCAGTAAAGGATCTCTGCACGCTCTCCAGGTCAGCAATTTCTCCAGCTTTGACAGGGGCTGTCATTGTGCAGCAGTACTCCACTCTAGAGAGCACAAGCGTCTTGAAAAGTATCATCATTGGTATAGCATCTCTAGTGTGAAAGGTTCTTGTTATCCAACCTGTCATTTTTCTTGCAGTTGTGACGGCTACTTTATTGTGTTCTTTAAAGGTAAGGTCTTCCGACATGAGTACACCCAGATCCTTTACATTGCCTTTTTCGTTCTATGTTATGATTTGCCTGAGTTTTGTACGTGGTTTCTGTTTTCATATTTTCAATTTTTTCCATACCGCTATCACTATAACCATGCCCCCCCCCCTCCCGACCACCGAGGCGTGACGTCACTGCGTGGTGAACAAGTGAGTCAAGGCCGGCGTCGCCCGGGCTGACATTCTTCCCGTTTTCTTTACCCGTTGGAGCGGTACGCGGCGCAGGCTCGAACCCTCGGAGCGTGTTTACTATTTTTATTTACTGTTTGTGGGTTCAGAATCGAGCTATTAGCTCTTGGGGCCCGCCTTTCTAACCAATATATTTTTCCCTATTATTTCTACTACATATATTTCTCTCTAACACGCACACACACACACACTGTGCGTGTGGGGGGGGGGGGTGGAAGTCGGTGGCCGAGCGGACAGCACGCTGGACACGTGATCCTGTGGTCCCGGGTTCGATCCCGGACGCCGGCGAGAAACGATGGGCAGAGTTTCTTTCACTCTATGCCACTGTTACCTAGCAATAAATAGGTACCTGGGAGTTAGTCAGCTGTCACGGGCTACTTCCTGCGATGTGTGTGTGTGTGTGTGTGGAGAAAAAAATAGTAGTAGTAATAAAAAGTTGATCGACAGTGAGAGGCTGGACCAAAGAGCCAGAGTTCAACCCCCGCAATCAGAACTAGGTGAGTACAACTAGGTGAGTACACATCCACAGGAAGCAGCCCGTAGCAGTTAACTCCCAGTTCCTATTAGGTGAACAGGAGCATAGGGTTAAAAAGAACACTGCCCATTTGTTTCTGCCTCGGCAGGGAATCAAACCCGGCCCATTAGGACTACTAGCTCCGAGCGCTGTCCACTCAACCGTGAGGCCCCTGTGTGTGTGTGTGTGTGTATGTATTCACCTAGTTGTGCTTGCGGGGGTTGAGCTCTGGCTCTTTGGTCCCGCCTCTCAACTGTCAATCAACTGGTGTACAGGTTCCTGAGCCTACTGGGCTCTATCATATCTACATTGTAAACTGTGTATGGAGTCAGCCTCCACCACATCACTGCCTAATGCATTCCATCTGTTAACTACTCTGACACTGAAAAGGTTCTTTCTAACGTCCCTGTGGCTCATGTGGGTACTCAGTCTCCACCTGTGTCCCCTTGTTCGTGTACCACCCGTGTTAAACGGTTTATCTTTATCTACCCTGTCAATTTCTGATAATTTTGTAGGTAGTGATCATGTCTCCCCTTACTCTTCTGTATTCCAGTGTCGTGAGGTGCATTTCTCTCAGCCTTTCCTCGTAACTCATGCCTCTTAGTTCTGGGACTAGTCTAGTGGCATACCTCTGAACTTTTTCCAGCTTCGTCTTGTGCTTGACAAGGTACGGGCTCCATGCTGGGGCCGCATACTCCAGGATTGGTCTTACATATGTGGTGTACAAGATTCTGAATGATTCCTTACACAGGTTCCTGAAGGCGTTCTGATGTTAGCCAGCCTCGCATATGCCGCAGATGTTAATCTTTTTATGTGGGCTTCAGGAGACAGGTTTGGTGTGATATCAACTCCTAGATCTTTCTCTCTGTCTGTTTCATTAAGTATTTCATCTACTATTCGGTATCCTGTGTCTGGCCTCCTGTTTCCACCGACTAGTTTCATTACCTTACATTTACTCGGGTTGAACTTTAGTTGCCATTTGTTGGACCATTCCCTTACACACACACCCTTCCGCATCACAGACACACACACACACACACACACACACACACACACACACACACACACACACACACACACA